CATGAATGGTTCTGTGAATGATGATTAGCTTTAAATCTGACACAGGGCTAAAGTAAGTGATTTTATATATTTGTGGTTTTTAAAAGTAGCTTTCATTGATAGAATTTAAAATATTTTATACATGGAGCATCTTAACTTCATGCTGCCATCCCAGCTGTCGAAGTGGTATTAAAAAAAAAAAAGAAAGGTGAAGTTAAGGGGTCTTTCATCAATGTCTTGAGCACTCACCATGGCTAGGCTTTATGCTAAGTGCATCACATTCATACAACATTTCATTTTATCCTCTCAATAACCTTAAGCAGTAGGTTCAATTAAAAATCTCTATTATACTAATGAAGAAATAAAGGATTAAGAGAAATTAAGCAAACTGCCCAGGCCATAGTATAAATGGTAGAGTTGAATTTAAACCTAGACCATTGTCACTATGCTATTGCCTTATTTCTTCAGGCAAAAAAGAAAAGCTAACCCAGTTCTAAATAACTAGATAAATTCAAAAGGATAAAAACTCCTAATATTAAATCACAACATTCATAACACCTCCGTCTTCTACCATTAGGTGATGGAAATACCTCATTAGCAGACGATAGATTGCAGTTGTTAAAACAATGAGTTTGAATTCCTACCAAGTTTTATTAGCTGTATGATATCTGGTTAATTACTTCACCTCTCCTGAGGTCTCAGTTACCTCATCTATAAAATGGATATAATAGCAGCTTGGTTGCTGTGAAGTGTAAATGAGATAAATACAAACACAGAGTTAATACATGACAGTTAAAACACAAGAGTAAATGAGATATATAAAAAGCACATCTTGCACACAAACATCTTGCACACAAATATATGTAATGAATGATAGCTTTTACTATATTTTAGCCAGTAATAAGTCTATGTTCTCAAGGCTGGCTCTGCGGTATCCTAGTGGATTTAGACTGATAGGCCACCACACTTAGCAATTACCTAGACCAGTGAAGAATGGTCACGTTTCCTCTAAAGAATGCTGAGGAAGATCTCACTCAGAAATGATTGCCGGACTGTGCTAAAGTAGGCTCTTCCAGTAGTTTTCTTGTCATCTTGGGATAGAAGCCTTCACAGTTAGCTCTGAAATCTAAATGTTAAAGGTGGAGAGAGTTACATGTTAGCTTGTGCAACCAAATCTTTTTTTTTTTCTTTTTTAAGCAATGAATCTATGAATTCAAAGTAATTAATTTATCTGGTTTAAAAATGGTTCAACAGGGCAAGTGATAAAAAGGCACAGTCTTTAGCTGACTCTTACCCTTGTCCAACTCTTTAACCGCTTATGAACCATTTAGCTATTGACTTCCATGCGTCTAATAAAGGTTTACAGAGTTACTTCTTGATTCATCAATTGTAGACATTATTAATTGATTTTCTCTTATGAAAGTTGAGGATGTAGCTCACTTCTCCCCTAACTCCCTTCTCCCTATCTTCCCAGTATAATTACATCACCATCTTTACTACTTCTATTTGGTTTTATTTGTAACTTTAGAGAAAATATACTTTTTATGTCTTGTTCCAGCAACTATAGGCTGCTATTTTTGACTTCCCAATTTGTGAGAGGAGGGTATGCCCCATTCCTTTCCTTGGTGGTCCATTTCTACCTCCCTGTATATCTACTTTCATGTAGTCAGGACTGATAGTTTCTATTTTATAGCTGTAACCTTTTCTGTGCTTAGTCTATTGGTTGATTTTGAAAGTGGAAAGTCAGCAAATTATATTTTTGCTAGATACTGGCCTTTCTCAATATGATGCTGCTTATTGGACTGCCTGGGATGGAGTGGGCAAGAAGAAATTGTGTCATCTCGAAACTGTTAATACTGGCCTTTATGCAGTTGAAGACAGCATAGTGTTAAAGAAAAAACTCTGAGGTTAGGTTAGAATTCTGGCTCTATCACTTTCTAGTTTGAATTTGGATAAACCATTTAAAGTCTTTGTGCCTTGGTTTCCTTATCTATAAAATAAGGATATTAATATAGTAGCACATTGTAAGTGCTGTATAAATCTTGAAAAAAAATTCTTTGGGAAAAATGAAGAAACATTAGAAATATGTTATTATTTTTGTTTTTTTTAAAAGCACTATTATAAACATTGTGTCTGCTAACATTCATCACAGTTACATACAGTTATTCTACATTGTTGTCTTAAGGGGATATGATTGAGTATTCTAGGACATGAATGTTTTTGTGTAAGATAGAAACTCACCTTTAGCACTATGGCTCTGGCATAAGTAATCCTCAATCTCAAACCCCCTTGAAGAGTTGTACAAATATTATAAAATACTAGGACAGATTGCTTCCCCTTTCAATTCCTTCCCTTTCACAACCAAGGATAGCTCTGTAGACATTGTGACTATTGTGATGATCATGGAGATGTGTCATCCAGATGCCCTGTCCAGCTAGAGTGTGCTCTTGGCAGGTAGGCTTCAGTTGGCAACCCCTTCAGGATTATTTCAGCTGCACAGAGCTGCCACACCTAAAGAAACTGGAAAAGCAATCCTTTGGATGTAGAGCAAAGGCATAGATAGTGAGAAAGGAGATAATATTCTGAAGACGTTCAAGATAAAGA